CGGGCAAGACGTCCACGGTGCGGTCGCTGATGGGAAAGCCGTTCGAGGAGGCGCAGGCCTCCACGGTCGGCGTGGAGACGGGCAGCTGCCAAATCTCCCGCAGCCACGCGGTGGACTGGCAAAGCGGCCACGCCTCGGAGACGGAGGGCCTCATTCGCCAACTCCTGACCAAGGCACAGCCAGAAGCCCATGCGAGAGAGGGCTTCAGCTCCTTCAGCCCGGAGAAGCCAAAGCCATGCGACACCAAGGTGTTGATGAGCCATTTGCCCGTGGAAGAGGTGGCGGCCAAGTTGGATCAAGACTTCATGACATCCGGTCACGTGGAAGGGCAACCCATCACGTTTTCGACCTGGGACTTTGGTGGTCAATCTGTCTTCCACACTCTGCACCATCTTTTCCTGACCCGCTGCAGTGTGTACTTGGTGGTGTTCCCGATGACGCAGCTGGGCGAAGGCCCCGAAGGCCCCGAAGGCCCAGAAGGGGCGATGGGAATGATCCGTTACTGGCTGAACTCCTTGGCGCTGCACGCCAAAGGCGCGCCGGTGCTGCTGGTGGGCACCCACAAGGACCGAGTGGGCACGGAGGCCGAGCACCGCGCCATCAGCGCGCGCCTGGCGCAGCTCACGGGAGTCTTGGACCAGGTGCAGCCCTACACCATGGACGGCAGCGATGGCAGCAATGCGGAGGGCTTGTGGTTCTTCCCCATCGACAACTCCTTGTCCGGGACAGGCAGCGACCCGGTGGTGGTGGAGCTGCGGAAAGCCATCGAGCTGGCGGCCCACGAAGACCCCGAAGACTACTTGCACAGGCCCATTCCGATTCGCTGGCGAGGGGTTTTGGATGTGCTGCTTTCCAAGGAGGAGTCGTTTGTCAGCATGCAGGACATGAAGCAGATAGCCGAGAAGCAGTCCTTGCCAGGCTGGCAACTGCTGCCAATGCTACAGATGTTCCATGAACTGGGTGTTCTCTTCCACTTTTCGACTCCCCAGGAGCTTCGTGACATTGTAATCCTACAGCCTCAGTGGCTCGTCACTGGAATGTGCCAGTTGATCTTCGACTGGACTTTGCATGAGCAGGAGCACCATAAGCAACTTAAGATCGAAATGAAGTCTGCCTACGACGCATGGCGACACAAAGGAATCGTCACAAGGAGATTGCTGGATCGACTTTGGGAGCGTGGCTATGAGCAGCCAGCCCTGAAATCTTTCTTGGTGCGTTTCATGGAGGAGGTTGCTTTGGTGTGTGAGGTCGAACCTGACACGTTCTTGGTGCCATGCCTGCTGCCACCTAGCCCCGGTCCTGGTTCCACCAAGCCGGCTGCCCAGCACACGTTCTGGCTGGACTTTTCACCAACCTTTCTTCCTGACAGCCTTTTCAGGCGTTTGATCTGCTATGCAGTGCAGAAGTCCAGCGGAAATAAGCTGGAGCTGAATCTATTTGCGTCTGACGCGTTCATGACCTTCGACGGCCATCCCTTTGGCCTTTCAGCGCGGAGAGGTGCTGACCTTGTTCAAGCCGATGTTTATTCAGATGGCGCGTGGCTGGTGCTCCACACCATCACGAACCTGGTGGAGCATTTGCGGCTGGACTTTATGCATGATCTTCGCTACGATGTGTTTCTAGCAGGTGGCGGCATGCGTGTGAAGAAGGCCGAGGTTGAGCTGGCCAGAGAGAATCTGGGCACGAAGTTATGCTGCTGTGATTTTGAAGAGTTTTGCATAACTGTTGCTGTAATTTGGTATGGAGCTTTCCTTTGAGTCTTGCAGAGTCTTGCACGGTTTCTGGCTTCCCGGACTTGCAGGAGGGACTTAGAGAACTTCCGGCCGAAAGGGACGACGCGGAGAGTGAGGACGTCGGAGTTCGACGCTTTCTTCAGCGTCGCATGGCACTGGCCGTACATGGAAGTGACATGAAGTGACATGAAGTGACTCAAGTGTTTTGTTGTGTTCAGCTTTCTGGGACTTTCTGAATCGGGGTTGGGGTTACCGGGTTGGTGTGTTGCGCATCCCAGGCTGAGACTTCCCCTCCAGGCGTGCTGGTGGATTCTCAGTGGCGGCAGTTGAAGAGCACCTGGCCCTTCCTGGCGAGGCGGGGCGCGGAAACGTGCGCTTGCAGAATTGCAATGTGCCTCTGTGCTACTTTGCTATTGGTTTGCTCATTTCTGGTGCCTGTGCCGATTTTTCTGCGCCTCTTGTTTTGTTCTTTGCATTTCTTTGCATTTTTTGCCTTTTGTTGTGAGTGATCTGAGCCATGTTTTTCTGAGCCATAGGCATGAGCCGAAGTTTGGCCCCGCGGAGCGGGCTGCGCTCTACACCTACCTGCGGGATCCAGGGCTGTGGGGCATCTCTTGGGCCGCCTTGGTGCCCCGAACGCGTTACGGACCTGAGGCGTCTGAGGCGTCTGAGGCGTGGAGTCGGAGTGAGTCAAGGAGTGAGTCAAGAGTCGGCAGCTAAGGAGAGCATCGAGAAGGATGCCAAAGAGACCTTCAAAGGCAACTATCGGGACAAGAGCATGCCGCTCGCGAGGAATGCAGAGAGGGCCCGGGTTGTGATACCATGGGCTCGCAATATGCCATTTGCCAGTGTAGCGAGACATGTCGAGCCTTTCTTCCCCGAATTCCCCATGGCGGTCGAGTGGATGCTGCGCTCAGGTGGCACGTCGTCCAACACATTGTGAAGCCTAGCTGTGCGAAGCACGGAGTGCCAATTGCTCTGGTCCGCAATGGCGCCTTGGCATGAAGCAGACAGAGACTGCACCCATACCTTGGCCCACACGCGTTCTGTCAGCAGCCAAGGTTGGCAGGTGTCTCTTGCCAGCACTTGAGAGTTGTCCCACCTTTTTCCTTGACTGTTTGCACTTGTGGCAAGGGCTGGCCCTTTTTGCTGGTCCCTTTCGTGGCCCCACGCAGTGAAGACCCCTCACGTGCTTGGCTGTGCTGAGGCTGCCGGCGCAAGACTTTATAACTCATTGCTGGGCGGAGCCGTTCCAGGAATTCATGGACTCCCTTCGGCATGCCTATGATACTGCTGTGGTCAAGCCCACGCTCTTCATATGTGCCTTCTCGCTCTTCCAAGGCACAGAACTAATAAACGGTCCTAGGGTTGGCATGGAAACTGCCAGGAGAGGCGAGCGACATTGAGGCAGCGCTGGGCCAGTCTATTCCACAGGCGCCGTTTGCCCGCGACCTGCATTTACGTGAAGTGGTTGACCCTTGCTTGCTGCCTCGTGGATAAACGCTGAGGTCAAGGCTTTGCGATCAGCGGAGCGATATGTGGTGGTGCGAAACCGTGACCCTGCCGAGCAGATTTGGTTGGTGTATCTTCTGGCGCTGGGGGACTTAAACGCGCTTTGCCTAGCTTGGAACATGGTGAGGTATGGCGGACCTTTACACCCGGGCTTGGTGTTTGGTGGAATACATATACGCTCCTTGGCACTTGAGACGGAACACGACAGGTGGCACGTCGCAGAGTTGAGGCCAAGAAGCTCGGCTTCTACAAGGACAAAGTCCTCATCACAGGTCCGAACAAGTTCTCTGAGCCCTTGCATGAAAGCGATTGTGAGACAGAGACATATGTTACTGTGATTAGCCATGTCTTAAACCATCACCAGGGATGTCGCGATAGTGACTGACCGGTGGTGTTTGGCTCAAGTTAATGGGTTCCGTCGCGCCTCGAATGGGCGTCGCCGAACCCCTGCGTCGACCGACGGCATCTCGGGGGAGAAAGAGACCTCGGGCCGCCGCCAGGTTGGTAGGGACCAGTCGTGCGGCCTGTTGTCGACCAAGGTTGCGGGTTAACCCTTTTCTCTTTTGGTTTGTTTCCCTTTGGTTGTTGTTCTCTGGTGTGTGGGAAACCCTGATCTTTGGGACCGGGGATTGGTTTGCTTTTGGGGAACCTTTCTTTTGTGGCTTGTTTACCCCAACTAACCCATTGCCTGGGCACAGGCTCGTGCCCGAATCACAGGTTATCAGCCGTAGGACTTTCCTACGCGCTTGAGACCATCAACTACAAGCTCTATGTCGACCCCACGATCACACAGGAGTGTCGTGGATGAGGAGGCCATCCTAGGGGGCCTCCGCTCAGGTGAGGACCTACCGGACTACGACTACGAGGATTTCGAAGCAGGTTCGACAGGTCAGGGCCGCAGGGGTGAAGATCCCGGTAGGGACACACCCAGGAGCCGTGGCAGGTACACCGACGATGGAGACGATCGCATTTTCCGTCAGGCCACTGATGACGAGCAGGCACAAAGAGTTCGCTCCGATAGGAGCGGCTCTGAGTCAGGTCGCAGGCGCGGACAGTTTGACTTCATCAGCATGGCGATGAACATGGCCCGCCCTCATTCGGACGACCCGGAGGCCATGCCGACCCGACCCCCGAGATCTCTCGTTCCAGGTGAATCGGACCAGGGACTATGGTTTTGGCTCCGAAAGATATCTCGGGTCGATCCACTGGTTCTCAAAATCCGGGTCAGTTTGATGAGCGCGAGGAGCGGAAATTCACAGGCTTCGGATACGATGCTCTGTTGAAATCAACCGCAGGCTGGGGCAGTAGCTCAAAGCAGGGGTCTGATGCCGATAGGCCCAACCCTAATACTGCCAAGTCTGAGTTTGATAATGGCGAAGATTACAATTTTGCGGATGAGGAGGAGGACCATTCGCGCCGAAAAGCGGGCAACCGTGCTGCTGCAAGGCCTAGCCCTGCCGCTGCTAAGTTTGAGTTCAATGATGATGATGAATATGCCGCATTTGCGGATCGTCGTGATGAGGAAGAGGACCAATCACGCCGAAATGCTAGGAGCCGTGCTGCTGCGAGGCCCAGGAGCCTCTCTCGTGGAGCCGCCAGGGACCTTCGTGTTGACAGGGACACCCGAAGCGAGAGAGAGAGAGCTAGGGACAGTCGGGAAGTTCTTCGGGGATTGGAGGCCATCCATGACCGGGAGGGACCGATAGGTCCTCCAGTGGTTGGTGATACCCCGAATGTTCCCCCTTTTCCCAACATTTCATTTGGAGGTCCGTTGAATCAGAGAGACGAGAACTCGAACCGGGTTACTGGTTCGCCGAGGATCACTGAACGGGCTGCCGATGTCGTTAGGACAGGTGCTAGAGATGGTCGGCTTGCCGATGCACTTGGAATCGAAGATCGTCCGTCGATCGCTAGCCCGTTAGGGCGAGGTCCCAGCGACCTTGAAACGCTAAGGTCTAGCAACGAGTTCACACCTCAATGGGGATCGACCGCCAGGGAACGTAGTGCTTCCTCGAAGAGGCCGTCGCCCCTGGCCATTGAGACCGATAGGTCAAAGCAGCAGCAGGATGAGGAAATGTTCGACCCTGCTGATGTTCATATCCATTCTACTCCAGAGTCTCGTGCATCTAATGTTGATCCCCGATCTGGCGATAGCCGGAGAAGGGGATCAACCCCGAGTAGGCCATCCAGGATTGATGATTGTCCTGTAGGCGAACCCAGAAGATTGGGGCTCCTGAGAGGATCGAGATATCGACTCCTCCAGCCCACAGATCCCATTCTTCCGGTGAGTCAGGTGACGCTAGGGCAAAGGAGGTGTTTGATTTGCACATCCAGGAGATGCTCGAGAGGGGTGCGGTGTCTGGTTCAGTCGCGAAGGCGTTCCATATCTGTGCTGACCAAATCAGGTTACTGAACGGTCAGGTGGGTTCCATGCGAAAGGAGTGGAGCGACAAGAATCAGCAGACGAAGGACAGGGTCAGTCGTTTGGCTACTGAGATTGCGACTCAGTCTGATGCCGGTAGGATGCGAATGATAGTTCAGCGGTTTGCCAGCGAAGTTATCCCTGACAGCAAGGCCATTGTGAGGCAAGCCATTGACGAACAGGCTGAGGTTGTGGATCAGAGGATCAACCTGCTTTCCCACGAAGTTCATGAATCCGTTAAGGAAAATGACGCCGGCAGGTGATCTGACTGCGCAATTGCCCGATAGGGCTGCCAGCAGTGGGGCGGACGCGAATTTCAGGGAACTAAACCTGAGGCTCGAGAAGATCCTTGTTGAGCACGAGAAGTTTGCTAAGTGGGCCTCCGAATCTATTGGTGGCATCAATGAGGAACAGACTATATCCTTGCTGATCGAATGTCGAGGCTGCAAAGCGGAAGGGGGTCCCAGGCGGTCGATAGACCATCAGGGCCTGATTCCCCGCAGGACTGGCATGAAGCAATTGACGAGGTCAATCAGAAGATCCAGGATCTATCTCGCGGAGTTCAACGTCAACGTCGGGATCATGACGATGTCATTGCGAGGTTTGAGACCGTGAAGTCCCGTGTTGAGCAGTACGAGGCGAGCTCGGGAATTCTGAATCAAGTTCTTGATGATATCAGGAGACAGATTCGTAACCTCCCGGCGAGTAGTGATCAAGCACGGTCCGCCGTTAGGCGCGAGCTGGATTCATTTCGCAACTCGCAGGAAGCCGCGATGCGGAGGATCACTACTGTTGAGAGTAACATGCGTACTCTGAATGGAATGAACAACAGAATCATGGCCCAGCTTTATGATATTGAGGGTCATGTTGATGAAGCTGCTGGCATTATTCAGGGTGTCCAGCAGGTTAATGAGAGCCCTCAAGGACCCAGAGAGAGGCGGAACCCTGGGTACAACGCATTTGCTGGACAGGGACACAGAATCAGGTCACCGACGCCCACCCCTGGTGAGGGAAGTGGTCGGGGTACTGATCTTCCAGCAAGGCCGGGTGGGGGTGTTGGCTTGTCCGGCCAAGGGTTGCCGACTGTGCCCAATAGGGTCGATCCTTCTCGTGCGGACAGGCATCCCATTCATCCCGATAGGGAGAGGGCAGACAGCAGAAGCAGGAGCCCGGGGACTGCCTGACAGGTCACATTCCCCGCCGGGACACGCGAGGGACGGCCCCCACGCGCGCGCAGGGGGGGACATTTCAGTTTCTCCAAGCCGGGATGTAGGTAGAAACAGGAGCCCGAGGCCTGCTGCCGTCCCCGATAGGGGATCTGATATCCGGAATCGGCAGTATTTCTCCGAACCCAGACAGACCGATCCGCGATAGCGGGAGTATCTCTCCGACCCCAAACCGTAATTCTGGGGGTGGTAGAGTTAGTAGGGCCCATGCCGACACCCAGAGTCCCGGCGATAGCTGGAGGACTCCCGGGAGCAGAGCTCATGTCGATATCCAGAGTCCCGGCGATAGCTGGAGGACTCCGGCGACTCCATCCGATCGTGGAAAGGCCTCGGCACCGGCTGCGAGAGGTACGCCTGGTACCGGCGGGCCAAATGCGCCGAAGATCTGTGCTCTCGACGATCCAAATGATCGTAGGCATCCCAATGCTGAATTCACGTGTGTTACATGCAGTCGTGAGTTTTGCAGGCTGTGCGAGGGTGAAGATGGAGATTGTTGCAATTGTCACTTCTTGAAGCTTAAATGTTGGGCATGTCGCAAGAATGCCCAGGAGGTTTCAATGTATCTCTGCTCTGATTGCGGACATAACGTATGTGAGGATCACATTCACTTTGGCAGTGACTGCCTTGAGCGGTGTGCGCGTTGCAATAAACGGCATGAGCGCGCTGACGCTGGACCGCCCCCTCCTCCTCCTCCCAGGGGAGGAGGTGGGCCAGGCGGACCATCCGGCCAAGGTGGAGGTGGAAGCGGTGGTCATGGATCTGCTCCATCTCCACCGCCAGGACCTGGGCATCCCGGCGGAGGCCAAGGTCCCGCTGGACCTCCTGGCGGTCCGAGTGGTGGGGCTCCAACCGGGGGATACGTTTCCGGGTTCTATGGCACTGCTGCTGATTCTCTTGGGGCTGAGAACAATCAATGTGGTTCGAGTTTCTATGGTCCAGCCTTTGGGGGTGGCGTCTACAATCAAGGCGTCGGGGCCGGCGTTAGCCAGCAAGGCGTTGCTCCAGGTTACCCTGCGAGCGTTGGGCATGCCAGTAACCCCGGAGCGAGTCCGTGTCATGGCTACAGTGTCAACGGGGCCGGTAGGCCAGGAGATGGCGGTCTTCTTCCTGAAGCAATCAGGGGAGATGACGGGCAAGTGCACTAAATGTGGCCTCAGAGTCCCCATTACTGGCCCTCCTCTGGTCCCATGCGTTGGTTGTGGAATGAGGGCTTGTGATGTGTGCTGTCCGCCGCCAGCTAGGTTGTGTGAGAGCTGCAGGATCACGTCATGTACCCCGATAGGGGCCCTGATTTCGACTGTTGCAGACAAGGATCGGTACCATCACAAGTGCAACACTATAACGTTGCCTCCTGAACCAACAGCTGATAAGCTTCGGGAATGGATTTCCGAGGTAAAGGAGAGGGTCAGGAACGCTTTCAGCTTCGACTCTGATTACGCGTTAGCGTGGATTTCAGAAAAGGCTCGACTATGACGCTCTTGGAGGGCCCTGCAAGTACCCGGTGTTGGATTCCAACTTCACGAGTGCTATCAGGGATTGCATCAGGACGAGGGCCGTTAGGGACAAGATGTATCGCCTGACAGAAGCTGCCCAGAACATGACCCCTCCTCAGGGCATCAAGGGAAGGCAGATCTTGAAACTTC